TTTTTTTTTTTTTTTTTTTTTTTTTTTTTTTTTTTTTTTTTCCGAAAAAAGTTTGATTTCGAAGAGGTCTTGATGAGGCGATGCCATGTAGGATCAGCGATCAATGGTTGTGGAACAACGATGGAAGGGCTGATCTCGATCCCCCCACAATATCCCATGGGGATTTGCTGTGTTGCTCTTTTTTTGTTTTTTGTTGTTATTTTTCCTCTTCTTCTGAAAAAGTTCGATTTCGAAGAGGTCATGATGGGGTGATGCCATGTAGGATCAGCGATCAATGCAGGTACAGCGTTCAAAGTTTTTTTTTGTTCTCTTTTTGTTGAAAAAATTCGATTTCAAAGAGGCCATGATGGGGCGATGCCATATAGGATCTGCGATCAATGGTTGTGGAACAGCGTTCTATGGTCCGGCGTTCCCCAACACCCTTTGTGGATGGGGGTCAGGCGTTTCTGGACCGCCCCACCCCCTCCACAAATGCTGGATGGGGTCCGGCGGATTGGAAACGCCGGACCCCATCCAGCGGTGCCAGGTCGGGGGTCCGGCGTTCCCGTTCCGTGCTGGGTCGGGGGTCCGGCGTTCCCGAAACACCCTACCCCCTCCACAAACGCTGGATGGGGGTCCGGCGTTTCTGAACCGCCCCACCCCCTCCACAAACGCTGGATGGGGTCCGGCGGATTGGAAACGCCGGACCCCCAACACCGGTGCCGGGTCGGGGGATCAACGTTTCCGGAACGCCCTACCCTCGTCACCCTAAGTGGATGGGGGTCCGGCAGATTGGAAACGCCGGACCTCCGACACCCGTGGTGGGTCAGGGGTCCGGCGTTTGCGGAACGCCCTACCCCCGCATCCTCTGTGGATGGGGGTCCGGCGGATTCGAAACGCCGGACCCCCGGCACCAGCACGGATGACGCTGGTCCCCAGCCACACTAAGTGGATGGGGTTCCGAAGGGTTGGAAACGCCGGACCCCCGCCTCCCTTTGTCGGTGGGGGTCCGGCGTTCCCGAAACGCCCTACCCCCTCCGCCCTTTGCGGATGGGGGTCCGACGGATTGGAAACGCCGGACCTCCGACACCCGTGGTGGGTCGGGGGTCCGGCGTTTGCGGAACGCCCTACCCCCGCATCCTCTGTGGATGGGGGTCCGGCGGATTCGAAACGCCGGACCCCCGACACCAGCACGGATGACGCTGGTCCCCAGCCACTCTAAGCGGATGGGGGTCCGGAGGGTTGGAAACGCCGGACCCCCGCCACCCTTTGTGGGTGGGGGTCCGGTGTTACAGAAACGCCGGACCCCCGACACCCGTGCTGGGTCGGGGGTCCGACGTTCCCGGAACGCCCTACCCCCTCCACCCTTTGCGGATGGGGGTCCGGCGGATTGGAAACGCCAGACCTCCGACACCCGTGGTGGGTCGGGGGTCCACCGTTTGCACAACGCCCTGCCCTCGCACCCTTTGTGGATGGGGGTCCGGCGGATTGGAAACGCAGCCCCCCCGACGTCGGTACGGGTGACGGGGGTCTGGGGGTCGGGCATTCCCGAAACGCCCTGCCCTCTACATCCTTCCTGGATGGGGAGGGGGGTCCGTTGGATTGGGAACCCTCGACCCCCCACCTCGAGAGGATGGCGAGGGTCCGGCAGACTGGGAACGCCGGACCCCTCGACCACGCAAGGTTGTCTGGTGTGCAACGTTCCCGATTTCGCAAACCCCCCTTACCGAAAGGATGGCGGGCGTATGGCGGGTCACATGCCTTTTTGGATTTCTCGGACCACGTGCAAGTGCTTCTGTGTGTTTCTCATTGCTGTTCTCCTGCCCGTCTTTGTTTTGCCTTTGCACCCGGCAGAAAAATCTGGCGCGCCGACCTCTGCTTAAAACAAACGGTACGGTAGGTCTAAGATTTACAACGACAAACCGTGGGCTCTTGACTGGGTAGGCGGTTTGCATAAACCGGGGTGTGGGGCTGTTATCTTCTTGAGCGATGACAATGGCGCCACTTGGTACTGTTGTGGGGGGGTGTTGAAATCCGAGGCCGGCAGGAAGACCTACGAAGGGAGGACGTTCAGGACCTTCTTCCTCACGTCCGTCTTCGACAGCGCTGGGACAGACTGGGTCAAGGAGGACAAGAAGGTCTCCCTTGACCTGCGTCTCTTCCAAGGATACGGCGTCAAGGATTTCTCCATGAAAGCGTTTGACGTGGGGACGGAACCGAATTCCGCATGCTTCCTCCGGAAGAATTTCTCAGCAAAACAAACGCCAACCGCATCACTGGCTGTCTTCCTGTCGTCGACAGTTCTTCTCGGCTGAGCAAACCTTTGGTCCAATTCAACAGTCCGATGGACCTACTGCCAGGTGTGGTTAAGCGATACAGGGAAGACTTCTTGAAGCTGCCGCCAGACCAGCAAGCGGACTGTGTTTTTTTGCCCTTCGAGGCGGGTTCCAAGAGCAGGTGACAAACGCCGTCCGCGACGACTGGGAAGACAAAGCAGTTGGCGGGTGGGCCATCGGCCGCGAATCTTCCCTCGCCCTCCGTGAGGGGAGGTCGTGATTTGGCTCAAGGTTCAAGCGAGGCAACGGAGTACGATGACAGGTTTCTGCACCAGCGCAATGTTGGCCGTGATAATTCCCAGGACAGTGCAATTGCCCTGGACGAGGACAACGACGGCCCGGGGGACGAGGAAGGAGGAAGTGTCGGCCCGCATGACGATGGCGGTAATGAAACAGATGTGGAAGTTGGGGATGATAACATGCAAGACCGGGGCGCGATTGCTGACGACGAGGCCGACACGCCAATGCATGGTCATGACATATCCCACGCCGGTGATGTGGGAGCCGCAGGTGGTCAGCCCTCGACGTCCCGTGGGATTTCGCTATCGCAAAGCAGGAGTAAGGGTGGGCACGACTCACATGCAATGCAAGGAACGAAGGCGAAGAAAAGGACAAGAGAAACTTCTCCGACCGCTTCTAATCACAAGAGGCAAGCCAGAACTGACGCTGTTAATGAGGTTCGTGGAGCTTTGACAACATCCTAGGAGGCGCGGCCTCCTCGGAAAAATAGCCAAAAGGGGGCGATCTGGTGGTCAAGGCGGTGGCCGTGGGGGGGGCGGCCGTGGCGGGGCGCGGAAAGGCTCCCAGAGGGTGAGACCACAAGAACTGCGGGACTTGGGGGATGAGGGCGAGGGAGTGGATCCTCGCGTGCCCGAAGATGCTGATGAGCCGGTTTAGCGCGTCGCGCCCATCGACATGACGCGTTGTTTCGTCCTCGACTCGGAGTACGACGAGCAAGGCTTTGCTACACAAGACGTCCATACTCTTCACGTGGACGTCATGAGAATCAAACGCATTCCCCGCGGGAGGATTCTTTTCAACCACCGCTCCTTGTCTGGAAACATTGTGCGAAGCATCGAGAATGCCATAGAGAGCTCCATCAGCACGGACCCGGGGGCGTGGGATAGGCCCGAGCTCGTGCTTGCGCCAGTTGACCACAATGACATTGTAGGCGGCCAGGGAAGACGGATCACGCCGGCCGAATTCTTCAAGAGGGACCCGGCAGATTTTGACTGGTACGCTGTCTGTGGTCAGCATACCGTTGAGGTCATGAAGAGATTGGTCAGAAATGACTCCCCGACAGTTAAAGTTTATGGCCTCCAGGTGTACTCTAAGGTGCGGGTCGTCTATTTCGGAGATGATTAAACACGAGGGTATTTCAATTTCTCTTGCTTCGACAACACACGGGAAAATCACTCCATGATATTGTCATTCGAGGACGCTGTCCGTGACATCAGGCAATGGTGAATAGACAACAATAGAATCAAGGCCCCCAAAGTCAAGATCAGCGAGAAGGATGAGGTAGCCGTTGCGCACCAGAAGACGTGGCAGAACTTCTTAAGGGCCTGCATGGGGAAGGCATGCGACAAGGCGTTTGTGAAGCAAGCTCTCGATAATGAATACAGTAAGGATTGGAGTAATAAACTCCGGGGCTACATGAACCTCACCACATCCAGTGACTCGGTGTGACCGCTGGTCGAGAGGTTCTTCGAGATGTTCAACGAAGGAAAGCTGCCAGTTGGCGATGGCAAAATCCCGCTTGACATGCCCGGGAGGATGGAAGGCCGCCTGCCAGGCCCGTACACCGACGAGACCAAGGGACAAAGAACATTGTACCATTGCATATATGCAAGAGATGGTCCCAAAGGCTCCACCGTGTCGTGGAAGGATCTTTGTCCTTCCCACTTCAAAATTTTTGGGGATTTGACATGTCGTGCGAGAGAAGTTGCGTCGCTCCTGCTCATGAAGGGGAATGTGGTTGCAACAAACGTCAATGTCTTACCTCCAAGAGTGAACACAGAGTGCCTCCTCGACATCATGCGCAAGGAGCGGTACATGGTGCGTATGTTCAATTATGTTCTGTTCCGCGCCGAGGGAGGGGCGAACGACGAATGGAACGACGCGTTCTTTATGTCGTACAAGGACCTCGAAGACATGTATGGACCAAACGGTCTGTGTGCTGCTGAATGGGAGAAGGAACGGGACAAGTTACATGTCAATAAGGCGAAGATGATCCCTCGACGACTTGGAGGAGTGGAGGAGGCAAGGCAAGGTGCGGGCTTGGGGCCTACGGCGGCAATGTATAAGGAGGCTCCGTTTCACCTTAAGGTTTTCATATACACTGCAATCGATAAGCTTGATTTGCTTCGCGCTGAGGTGAAACGGATCGCCTCCAGTGCACGGCATATTGTGTGGGACAACCTTGGCAAACAAACGACGTTGCTACCTGTGTGCATGCCATCGAAGGAAGTGTTGGCAGTGCCAGACGACATCGTCGCATCAGCGCAAAAAATGACATGAAGGATCGCCATCGTAGACATCCCATCCTTGAACTTCAGCACGACGTGGACCTCTCACGAATTTGATGCCTTGCACACATTGATGACCAAGTGTTGTGGCCAGAATTGGGTGTTTTTCTTCTTTGCGCCGCAGAAGGTGCAAAGCGATGTTCTGCGTCACTTGTTCCGCTGGGAGGACGTCGAAGTCATCCCCGAGACCTGGAAACGGGTGGACAGGCCACCGAACGACATCACACGATATGGCAATATGGCTACGACGAGTCGAGATATGATGGCCATTGTCCTGCACGCCGAGGGAGGGGATCTAAAAAAAGTAACTGTCAAACCGCGACTTCTCAACGACCTCAAAAACGTGCACGTTGTAGAGGAAAAATTCAGGAAGTGTCAAGGAAAACACGGTGGGATAGAGGGCGATGATAGTGCGGTGTATTCTATCTGGGAGCGAGAGCCTGGAAAGTTGTGTTCGTTGTGCGGGTCATTTGTCGGAGAGGCGGAAGGTGTGCTTTTGTTGGGTAGAGCGCACGCATGTCTTGTGTGGGAGTTCTTACAGGCAGATAATAATGTCATTGTCTGCGACGACTCGGCCAAGGACATTGCATATCTGACAAAGTTCGTCGATATACTTATTAAGGATGAGAGATTCGCTTGTCATGTCGAGAAGCCACGTTGCAAACATCGCAGCAACAGGGACATGTTCCACAAGTTGGGACCCAAGAGACTGAAGGTGTGGGAATACCTCTTCCGCGATGCGCCGCAAGGACGGCTTGACGGGAACTACATATACAGGAAAGCAAAGGTGACAGAGACCCTGAAACATTATCACGGTGCTCTTACTGGTGCCTTTGAGACTTTTGTTGCTCGATGCGAGATCCTGAAGTTCGATCTTCATAAAGACCAACTAACGGCCAAGGACTACGTCGAGCTCGCAAAATCGGGTGACGGCTTTAACCCCGTCGACAGCGAGGAAGACACTTCAGAGTCCGACCTCGAATTGGGCGAGGACACGGGTGGTGAAGGTTCGGGTGGTGGCATGGTGCGGTCACACGATGAAGGGACCGTTCGCTCCCATGAAAGGCCCGTACCGGTGACCGCCCACAGTGTTGGCTCGATGGTGGCCCCCATGGAGGGCACTGGTTTGCCAAACATGAGAATATGTGGTGCCAATGATGAAGATGATATTGATATGCCAGGCGAGGCGTCGAAGCTCGCACCAGGCGATCCAATTCCTCCCGGCTATTGTGCTGATCCAACCACGATTTATTTCTTGGGGGGCAAACACGCCCGCACTGGTGAGGACGAGTGGGGCCATGACATCGTATGGCATGAGGGCATTTTTGAGCCCTGCATCCAAAATGGGGAGTGGAAGATGGCGGTCAAATACACATGCAGATGGCAGACGTTTCGCCGAATGTCAAAGGACACTTGGTTGAAAACGACGGAACTCGCGATTCTGTACCACGTGCAAAAGGAGAATCCGGGCAGAGTGAGGGCGCTGTCAAAGCCAAGGCCAAAGAATTGTTTTATGTCTTGAGAGACAATCGCCAGTTGGAGTACAATTGGAAATTTTACGCCCTGCGAACGAGTCCCTCATGTGGGTCAATCGACTGGAAGGTCAATCAAACTGCTGGAACCATGGAGGAGAGCAACTCTCAGGATGTCGTGCCTTTGTCAGCATCACCCCCCGTACCCACGCAGGCAGGGCAGAGGGAGGATGACGGGACTACTGTGGTGAAGGCTCAAGAGGTTGACATGACGTCTATGCCGCAAATCTCCGTCGCCACGACAGAACCGTCCAAACGCATGGATGTGTCAAACAGATTGTCGTCAGATGCAGGTGCCACGTACGGGAGTTTATTGATGACATGCGCCGCATTAGAAGGCAGATCTGAAATGGAGTCGGAGTCAGGTGTTGGCCTGAGCGTGCCGGACAGTCAGTTGCAACCGGAGTTATGCACAGGCAAAGGTGATGCACAATCACCGCTGACACCACAGGGAGGGGCCGCTGCGGATGGTGGGAAGGGAGGGGATGTGGAGGGAATCCTCCATCCTCGCAATCTTGAGACCTTAACCGATGATTTTGATTATGAGGGTGAGGGTGGAAATGACGTGGTCAATACGAGGGGAGTGTGAAATGATCGGTGAGGCGGGAGGGGGGCAGTGGAGAGGGAGAAACTAACGATATGAGTACAATGTTATTCTTTGCTTTGTTGATTGAAATCGCACAATTGACTCGTCTGTTTTTAGTTTCAAATGGAACTAGTATTAGTCTTCATAGGCACTACGACCACCTGATTTTTTTTTATGTATAATATATTTTTCCTCAATATTACGTTCGACCTAAGATGTTTAGGATACTTGCCCTTTTCGACGTGCTATAAAAAATTGTGTTGGGAGTGTGAGTGTGGTATTGTGCATCTCTCTCTCTCTCTCTCTCTCTCTCTCTCTCTCTCTCTCTCTCTC